TCAGACATGAAATATATATCTGTGTATTTCTTTGCAGAAAATTTGCACTGATGTTAAGAAGAGACAGCAGCGCATTTGCAGATGATTTCACTGTCATGTCACATGATCAGCCGCTGCCGGTGGATATCTCTTTTCTCTACAAGGGGAGACTACTCTCCCCTGACTGGTGCAGGTGATTGCAGAGACTGACATATAAATCTATTGTCTTTATTCATTCTTAAAGGAACACACACTATTAAATATCTGCCTAGAGGTCATCTTTAAAATCTTACAAATCAGTGCCATTAGAATTCAGCTTGCGGTGATGGTTAGATGACATTTGCTTTTACACATTTCATATAATACTGGTGTTCTGTTTATGGCACTCAGATGAGGATGACTCGTTTTGTCACGGTTCCATCATCGATGGCTATTTCCATGGATCCATCCACACCAAGAATGGCACCTTTTATGTTGAATATGAAGAAAATCACAACGGGTCACTAGATTCCTATATGTATCATGAGTCAGACATCGGTGAGTACTTATAAAGAGGACTTGTCAGTAATGGTAAAGTGTATGTGAAGGCAAAACCTTTAATTTTGTAATTTTGGATGAAGGAGAGAAGAAGAACCCTCTGTCAGGTTTTATTGATGTCCGTGTCCACACTGGGAAGGATATATCTTCTTCTGTTGACCATTGTCACTGATCGGGATGGCCATGACCTTTTAATCTGGTGATTATTGTCACTGATCGGGATGGCCATGACCTTTTAATCTGGTGATTATTGTCACTGATCGGGATGGCCATGACCTTTTAATCTGGTGACCATTGTCACTGATAGCTTATCAGTGACAATGGTCACCAGATTAAAAGGTCATGGCCATCCCTATCAGTGATAGGGATGGCCATGACCTTTTGTGATTGGTGACCATTGTCACTGATAGGGATGTTCATGACCTTTTAGATTGGTGACCATTGTCACTGATAGGAATGGCCATGACCTTTTGGATTGGTGACCACTGTCACTGATAGGGATGGCCATGACTTTTTGGAATGGTGACCATTGTCACTGATCGGGATGGCCATGACCTTTTGGAATGGTGACCATTGTCCCTGATAGGGATGGCCATGACCTTTTGTGATTGGTGACCATTGTCACTGATAGGGATGGCAGCAGGCAGAATCAAGGACAGACAAGCCAGGGGTCACACCAGTCGGGCAGCAAAGTACAAGGGATGAGGCAGAGGCAAAGTCCAGTAACAATTCCAAGGTCAGAAGGCAGGCAGCAGTCAGGAGCAGTCAGGTTCAATCCGGGTCAAAACGCAGGAGCAATAATCAGGCAGAACAAAAAGATCACCGGGACAAGCTGAAAGACCATCCAGCAACTAAGCACCATGGCCATGCTTGCTTTAAATAGGCTGATCCATTAGAGATACTGCATCACTTCCCGTGCGCCAGAGGTTGGCGCGCCTTTGTACGTATGTCCCGTTGCGCGAGCATGCGCACCAGCGCACGTTTTCCTGTTGTACGGAAAATGGGACCACACGCATGCGCAGTAGACCTAGTCACCTTACAAGGGCTTAGGAAATAAGTCTACATATATATGTACTGTGTATTTCATACAGTTTTATTACTTCCATTTCAGACTACTCCCTTTTAAAAGATGTGGGCTCCTTTGACCTGGCATTAAAAAAATACACATTTTTGGAGAATATGAGATGGAAACTAAAGGTCAGTAGTCAGTACTTTTTCTGATTTATGTACATTGGACTCAAAATCTACTTATGCTAAATGGAGCTAGCAGGGTCACAATGGCAGCCTCTGAGGAAAACCTCTGCTAAGGCTTTCCAGCTATAGAGAGTTTGTGCATAGTGGCGGCAATCTTCTCAGAGGGTCATTCCAACAAAAAATGATATGATGCTTAGTACATGATGTTTTACCTCGTTGGGTTCCTGGGTCTGCATACATGCTATGGCAACTACATGAGGATCCTACTCTCCTTGCTGGACTTCAGTTTAATTGCTAGGAGGTTTATTGACAGTGGTGCATGCTGGAAGGGGGTATAAATATTTGGGGGAGCCTTCCGGAAACTCTATTGCCTCCCAGGCCTTGCCTGGGGAGGATGTTTGTGCTGCTCCTTCTGATCTCCCAGGCTTGCTGCCTGGGGAGGCTACATATGCTCGGAGGAACAAGTACTGGGTCTTAGGCCTAAAGCTTACTCTACGCATTGCTGGAGGATTTACCCAAGGAAGAGGGAATCTGGATCCTTGATGGGGACACCAAGGAGGAGCCTCAGCTGCTGGAGATGTCCTGAGAAGCTGGATGATAACTGGAACCTCGCAGGAAGTCTGGTGACTATTCTGAAGGAGTTCAAAAGCTGCTACTACTTACAGACTGGAGTTCAGTAGAGCACAGAGTGCTGGTATGGCATAAGGGTTCTTTTCTGTGTTTCTATTAGTCTGGAGTCGTCCATGGTTCCTTTGGGTGTCCTGTACCCTAACCCCTTTGCCGTAGAGTTCTTGGCCACAGTAAGCTATCAACTGTTCAAAAACTGTTCAGCTTATCTGTTAACATCCCCACTACATGTCAAGAATTCAGCCCCGAGGTCCAATGTCAGCCTTACTGTGAACGGATGGGTGCCATTCACCCTCTGGAGGAGCCTGATCTGATTTTCTTATCCCGAAGCTCAGCTTTACCTTATCATTATTATCCTGTTTGTTAGGAAGGTTTTTGTGTTTTTCATTTGTTAACAATGTCTTCTTTTGGTCCATTTAGGAGGAATCTGTCAACAGACCTAAAAGAAGTTTGGATTTATCTCGTACATCGTGTCTCCTCCATCTGAAGGCTGATTACTACTTTTTTCGGAGTTTTAGAAACCTACAAGCAGCAATTGCTCAGGTATGCTTTAGTCTGTCTCCCTTCATACAGAATGAACACAGATCCGTACATATCAGTTGTGTGGTCCTGATGGTCTTCCTAATGGAGATATCTCCTGGAGATAACCTCATTTGGATCTTAGCTCGCCAATACATGAGTTCGGAGTTCCATAGATTGAAGTGCTGGTGGAACGCTGGACACTGGTATATAGAATAATGCCAAAGCATATAGGGAGGGCAGCTCTGTATAAAATAGGGGAACCCAACAGAGATCACTATAGTATTAATGTAAAGAAGACGGTTAAGAAGTGAGAGAGCCAACAAGTCTAATAGGTCCAGTTGAATTTTTATTGGCCAAAGTGAGAGTCACAGGAATAGAGTAACGTAGCACGCTAACGAGAGGGCTTCCCTCATTCCTCCTGTCCAACACCTCCTACCAAGGATGAGAAGTGGCATGGGTGTCTGTAGTGGCCCAGACACAACAGAAGATCAGAAGACTGCCTGCAAACTGCCATGCTAATGGAGATGCTTGGACCTGGTCTGCAGCTCGGGTGAAGGAGCACATATGCAAACACCGAGGTCTTAGTATGTAGTGATGATGTATTTCATCTTTAGCAGCCGCCTTTCCCCTAATGCTAGTGTGCCCACTGGTACTCAGGTGCCCCCAAGACTTAGACTGTGTATTTGGGCCATGGGCCTTGCCACAGGCCCGCAGGAAAACATAACATAGGTCAGCGGTCCTGCTGTCCTGGCAGTCTGCACTCACCTCTCTCCCCTTGGCTCTGGCTAGTGGACTGTCCCTCTATATCCTCACACATAATGCAGGTCTATGGACAAAATACCCCTAGACAAAAATGAACAGTTAACCTTTGCAGTACGGTGGGTAGCACCACTGCAAGGGTAGTCTTCTTCTTTTGGAGATGGGCTTTACAGAAGAGCCTGAGCCTAGTTATAATATATACTGCACACAGGCCAAAGTCTTTGTACTATCACAATCCCCCATATCTGCTGCGAGAGTCTCACAGACACACATCATCCTGAAGGATCATTAAACAAGAATTAAACAGAGGATAGGGAGCTAATACTTTGTCTGAGCCGACCTTGAAGAAGAACTTCAATACACAGTTACAAACTACACAGCAATGAGCAACTGTTGAGCAAATAAACACTTTAGTCAGGACTATGTAACATACACCATAACATATAGAGGTCAGCTCTATGTAACATTCTAAATAGTATATAGAGAGCGGTGGTCAGGGTCATGCTCTATACTGTACATCATAATGCAAAGAGTGCAGGGGTCAGGGGTTTGTAATGTACAGAGTATATGGGTCATGAATATGTAATGTACAGAGTGCAAGGGGTCAGTAGTGTGTAATATACATAGTTCAGGGGGTCAGGAGTGTGTAATGTACAGAGTGCAGGAGTCAGGATTGTGTAATGTACAAAGTGCAGGGGTCAGGATTTGGTAATGTACAGAGCGCAGGGGTCCAGGATTTGGTAATGTACAGAGCGCAGGGGTCAGGGGTGTGTTATTTACAAGGCATAGGGGTCAGGAATGTATAATGTACAGATTGCAGGGGTCAGGAATGTATAATGTGCAGGGGTCAGGAGTGTGTAATGTACAGAGTGCAGGGGTCAGGAGTGTGTAATGTACAGATTGCAGGGGTCAGGAGTGTGTGATGTACAGATTGCAGGGGTCAGGAATGTGTAATGTGCAGATTGCAGGGAGTCAGGAGTGTGTAATGTACAGATTGCAGGGGTCAGGAGTGTGTAATGTACAGATTGCAGGGGTCAGGAGTTTGTAATGTACAGAGCGCATGGGTCAGGAGTTTGTAATGTACAGAGCGCAGGGGTCAGGAGTGTGTTACTTAAAGACCATCTCTGGGCATATCGCTACTTATTTGGGGAACGGGGGAGTTCAGTGGCCAATGAGAATACAGGAATTCCACAGGATTGTTGATCGATTTTTTTTGGTGTTATTTTTAGATTGCTGGATATTTGATGGCTGTGAACACAATATTTGAGCAAGTGAATTTCAACGGCATTAAGTATATTAATTTTAAAGTGAAAGTGTTAAATGTAAGTATGGCCTTTGCGTCCTCATGTTCATTTTCTAAGTGTACAATTTACAGTTTTCAGATTCTCCTGTGTCTGGAAAATTAGATCCTTTGGATGTGAAATGAGATAAAACATTGCAGCATGACATCAACAATTTATGTTTATAATTAATATCCATGTTGGAGGATCAGTTGGTCAGTCGACGCCAATACTGATGTCCCAGTGTTTTGAAAAATGCTGGGTAGTTTATTGAAAAATAACAATATACATCAATAATATTAAAATATTATATA